CATCAGGACCTGGACTCTTTTCTGCTGCCGTACTCTTCAATGCCAAAATAATTTCCTCCTGGGAGATGACTCTCTCTAGGGCCTCTAACTTTTCTTCTGGAATTCTTGGTAGACCCACTTCCTTTAGATATTTCTGCCTTTTTCCCCTTCTTTTCCTCCTCTGTTTCTTTCTGGTTCCCATTCTTTACATCATACAACCTACTATATAATTTTTGAAATGGATTATCAGTGTCAGTGGTGGAATACACCAATTCTCCTTTTTCATCTTAAATTTTTTTCTATATAAAATGCTTTGATTTCTATTCCTTTAGTCTTTTCATTAGAAATTTCACAGGTCAATTCCCCCACTGATACCGTTCCTTTGAGACCCTATTAAAGATCCTCCTTGTTTCCACTTCCATAAGATCTTTTTTAACTCTTCTCTTTTAAGGGTTATCTTCTGAAGTATTTCTGAGTCTAGTTTCTTTTTATGTAACTGTTCCAAGTTATACAACTCCTCCGTCATCAACCTTATTTTTTTCTCCTGGTCTTTCTTTCTTTCCACCCCCATCGAGATCAAAATTCCCCTGATATATGCCTTGTGTGCCTCCCATATTGTTGCCATAGATACCTCCTCGGTCTCATTCAGTATAAAAAAAATTGTTCTAATTCCTTCCTTAACCTTTTCTCTAGATCCGGGTCTTGTATAAGCATCTCGTTTAATCTTCACATAGTTAATCTATTCTGCTCCCCTCCTACATGTAGTCTCATTGTGACAGGTGCATGATCTGACACAGACATAACCCCTATATTAGACTTGACCAATGAATCCAATTGTGTGTTCTCGATCATTATGTAGTCCAATTGTGAGTACGATCTGTGCGCTGGAGAGAAAAAGGTATAATCCCTTTCTCTTGGATGTTTCATTCTCCACGTATCTATCAGCTGATATTGATGTAGTTTCTTTTTCAACAGTTTTAATTTTCTACCACCTTCTCTATGCGCACTTGATGACATATCCATCCATGGATCCAAACAAAAATTAAAAAAGATCTGAATGTGGCAGGAGACTTTAAAGTCAGTAACCTCCCTGGCGGTCTGATTATGTTAACATTTTTGAATGTCAAACACAAGAGTCTATTAAAAAGCCCGGGTATGATAAAGTTTGAAACACGAAATCATAAATTATAATATAATAGATAATTATAAAAATAATAATACAATTCAATAATGTAATCAAACCAAAAAACACTGACATTTGAAATAGAGCGCCAAGGTCGCACATCACTGAGCTCAGTCGCAGAATTGTCGCTGTCGTCACTTTCAGTGTCTGATGACGAATTTCCCCACGAATCATTATCGCTCAATTCTGCAAGTGATTCTAATTCACTATCGCTGTTTTCTAGCTGGTCTAAAACCGCTTTTGACCTAAAAGGATGCTTTTTGGATGCCATGGACGGTCTCAAGTTTCCAGGCAGAAAAAACAGTAAAAGTGCAGGCAGGGCAATGGACAAAACTGAGGTGAAATAGTTTGATACAGTAATGTAATCCTAACAGACTACATTGTATTGTGTGTATGTCATGTTTTTACTTTTTTAAATCTCCCGCCGGTTCCGCCCCCCCCCCCCCCCCCCAGTGTCACAACGCTCGCAGGGAAGGGAACCCGGAAGACGGATGCCGGCAAATACAGCAGGAGGACATCAGGGGATCGCAGGACAATGTAAATTACACTACAGTGTAATCCTGAGTGTGGCTCGGGTTACCGCTTTTGGTACTGAAAATTAACCCCAAGCCACACTAGGGATTACCACTAGGATGGTTAAGTTCTCAACACACTCTCCATAAATACAACTGGTTTGTTATTTGGGCAATAGATGTTTGCTAACGAATAGCCAACTCCTTGTAATATTCCTCCCAGGAAAAGAAACCAACCCTCTGTGTACATCAATCTCTCCTCCAGAGTGAAAACCACATGTTTTGAGAACCCAATTGCTACTACATCAATAGAATATTGGTGGATTTCCCTAAATTACATGTTATAAAATTTATCAAACTCATTTCTGAAGCCAAGTCACTTCTCAACTATACTTCCCTTCAAAAGGAATACAGACCTAGATAATATTGAACACAGACCGTTACCCCCCTCCATCCTTACTCCCCTCCCTCCCCCCCTCTGTCTGCCCCACCCTCCCTTTACTTTCCCAATATTACTTTTACAAAACCTCTGGCTTGAATCTTTCGTGGGATGTTCCCACTAGCAATTCCTAGATTGGGGTGAAGTTCTAAACACACCCTCCCACTCCGACCCCTCCCCCCCCCCCATCTTCCAGCATTGGGGATCTAGAGTTTAGTAGCGCATTTAGCCTCCAGACAACCCACCATTACTACTTTCTCATCCTCTACCTAGTTCCTACTGCCTATCTAGTCCTCCGATTTTCTCAGTACGTGGGAACTACCCACCCCGCTGTGGGAAAAGAGCAGGGGACGGACGCCCCCCCCCCCCTCCTCATCCCACATTGGTTCATCTTTTCTTTTTATTTACCATCTGCCACATTTCCTTTCCCGGCCTTGAGCACTCAGTAGACCCTCCTGACCACCCCACAATGCCATTTCCTGCAAGTCTAATTTTTCACAAAAGTCACTTAATTCCTCTGGAAATAACAGTCTTGCTGATTTCCCATCTTTCCACCCAATCAGACAGGCCAGGAAACCCCAGTTCTATCGGATTTTTTTCTCCCTCATTTGTTCCAGCAACAGTTTCAAGGATCTTCTCCTGGCTAACGTCTCAGTTGCAATGTCAGCAAATATTTGAAGCTTTGTCTCTCCATATTTTATTTCTGTGGTCTCTCTTTTTCCATATTTTTTCTCTATCCTCGTAGTAATGGAATCGGACAATCACATCTCCGTGTGAGTCTGCTGACACTCCTTGCGGTCGCCTTATCCTGTGCACTTTCTTCATTTTTAAATGCTGTTACGGGTCTGCCTATCAATGGATTAAATACTCTCTTTATTTTATCTTACAAGTATTGCCCTTGGGACTCTTCTGGTAAACCGCGAATCCTTAAATTGTTTCTTCTTTCTCTGTTCTCTTGATCTAATTTGAATGTGAGCTTTCTCTTGTCTCTTTGCATCTCTTCAACCTGCATCTCTAGTTATTAATCAAAAGCACCTGTGTCTCCATTTTTCCCTCTACTTCTTCCACTCATGTCAATATTCGACCCAGATCATTCCGTATTGCTACCATTTCATTTTTCATAGACATCTCCAATTTTGCGAACATTTCCACCATATCAGATTTTGTAGGTATTTGTGACATAGCTCCCTGTTGTTCTAAAACACTTTGGTCTGTTACACTATCCACATTTATCAGTTTGTTGATCTGATTCGCTTCTTGTGTTCCGAGTGACATTCTTGATTGGTTCTTGGTGCTCTCCTGCTTATCTGGGGTTAAAGTCTCTGGGTATCTCCTTATTGTTCTAGTATTCGTATTCACTTGAGTTTTTACCCCCCCGGCTGATCTGCCCTTCATCTCTTTAGACTTTGCCCTTGAATTTGCTATTCGTGCACAACTGCAGTATTATCCACCCCCAGGAAACCCCCCCCCCCCCTTTTTTTTTTCTTTTCCTCTGGTACGTTAACATCCCCTATTATGCTACTTTAGGAGCAGAAGTGATCTAACCAGTTCCGCTAGCCACTGAAAACCACTGAGAACCCCAGCAAATATAGTCCTCAGTCCCACCCCATGCTCTGAAGTGCTTTAGGCTGCAGCAATTACATCAAGTACATTACAAGATTAAGTGTCCCGCCGTTACTCACATCAACTCACCACCACCTTCCGTGCTGACCGATTAAGATCTTTCCATCCCAGTGCATAATCAGTCCCAGCCGTTGCCACCAAACCCAGATAATAATCAGATGCATTAGTGGGGGGGGGGGGGGGGGGTCTCTAAAAATCGAGCAACCTGGGGTGTCTCAGGATCTCCCAACTGCTGTCTGCTGTCTCAGTTCCAGAGTGAAACACCTTTAGTGCACTGCCTCCTCTTCATCCATGAAGCCTCACCACTCTCCTGGACCTTTGGGACAGCTTATCACATTCAAAATTGCCGACTTTCACATGAGCAGTCACATAAGTGATCACAGGGACACTCTCACCATCCCCTTTTTCATTGAAGTCGCTGCCTCCTGCTCCCAGGGATCCAGCGTGCCTCACCAGCCTGCAGCCTCTCCCAGTGGCACAAGTCCGTCCTCTCCCCACCAGGACCGCCCACACCCAGATTCACCGTGGCTTCCAACACCGATTCCACCCCGGCCCCAGGTGAGACAGGACTCCAGTCAGTATATTCAGGGCAGATCAGCAACAGGGCTGCACACATGGATGGCGGGCGCCTGGAGCTTACGGCGCCATGCTCAGGCCCCTCCCCCCTCTTGTCTGCAATTATTTAATCCTATACTGGGAGAAATACATTAACTGTCATTCCTGACCTTGCCTTTTAAAAATGCTACTTGTCTGGCTGCAATGCTGATCACACAGCTTTAGTGCTGAAACCAGAGAGAGCCAGGCAATATTTTAAAAAAAGAAGCAGCAATGGCAGCCTACATACTTCTCCCAGTAAAGGTTCCCAGTGAAGATGGAGTGGAGTAAGAAACACAATCACATGACTAATAGGGAACTAAAAAGACTAACAGGTATGTGACCATATATGTTTTATATATATATATATATATATATATATATATATTTTTTTTTTTTATCATATGATGACATACAGTATATGTTTTACGCGTTGAATGAAAGGACAGGGCAAGGGTATAGACACAACTGACTTTATTCTGCCAAGGATAAAAGGGACAAAGTGCTAGGAAACCAGGTTAAACTATCAAACTCACCTGACACAGATGTACAACCATTTTCTAGGAAAGGCATGCATGAAAATAGAACTGTCAACTGAATTATTCTACTATTTTTGGTTTCCTTAATCTCAGTAATCTAAGCAGAGATAGTCAATATAGATTTTCCATACCTCTCTTTTTGCAAGGAGCACATTTGGGACAATATGAGGAAGACAGCGACCCAGCATCAGCATGACTCCATTCTCACTGTCAGCAATGCGGGACACCTACAATACATAAGCATTTTTACTATGATTGGGCATTAAATGAGATCTGCAATCCAGCACAAGCCTGTTTAACTACCCAATATGTGGCTGAACAAAGCAGACAACAGACAGTACACACATAGGAACAGCGCCTTATATGTCGTCAGTTAGAAAATTATTTTTTGATAGTATAATATGCATTGTATTGCTTGACAAAGTTGTAAACTCTATGAAACGTTAAAAATAATCTTGTCTTCCATAATTATAAAAAAAAAAAAATCTAATATGCACATTTTCCCTCTGCAATTATTATGATGAGAAGGAAAGCGCTTTTTAAAGTTAAATCTACAACCTTGTTACAGAACAACGGTCTATCAAAACCATATTAATTTCAGTCAACATTAAACTCCAGACAAAAATATAAAATACATTATTTAGCCTAGTTCACATTAGGAACTGTATGTGAATCGCACAGGAATTGCAATTCCTGTGTAATTCACATGTGATTCTGTGCTCAAATTGCACTGCATCCGCACCAAAAAGGTCCCTGCAGCATTTTTGTGACCTGCTCTTGGGGTGCTGTTAACACTGAATTGACACCCGCAGCAGGTTGCAGAACACACACATGGTTCACAGTGTTTCCCACACCGTAGTAGTGTGAACCAGGGCTTCATGTATTTTTTTTGAGATGCAAACAGTGTTAATACCAGAATTTGACTTGAAATAATCCCTTATTCAGCAACACAGAGAGTGAAGTGCAGTACTAGGAGCGGTTTAGATGTGCTGCATGCAAATGACCCGACAAACACGCTGATAGAAGAAAAAAAAAAGTGTGAGCAGAAGGGCGACCTCACTGTCCAGTTAGCTGGCTAGGAGGTGGAGAGAGGACACCGCTGTATGCTTTCTACAATCAAGACCTCCGCCTCATGGAGTGGACTGCAGAAATCGCAGCACTCCATGGACAGAAATTCAGATTATTTCACAGGTAAAAGCACCCTTATACTGTATGTATTTTAGCCATTTGACTGGAGTTCATCTTTAATATAATTATGAACATATTTTTGAAAAACAACAATTTATTCACGGTTAATCTTTTCTAGGATTCTTCCATGATAGCACTACTCTCATAAAATGTCCCCAACTACCAATTGGGACAAAAAGTGGAGAGTTTAAAAGACCTTGTTAGCCATATCTCCTTCGTTTTCACATATTACAAACAGTATAGAAATTATAAAGCGTCACAACATCTGTACCAGAAAATGAATTATAAGCATAATTCTAGATTTGTCTGTTTACCTTCCACAAGAATTTGTCATATTTAACAGATAAAAAACTAGATGAATATATACAGTTTATCCTAATGGTGGATACTGGTTACAGGAGTTACTCTGCTTATCTGAGGCGAGGCACAATCAAACAATGAACAGAAAAACTGCATCATGACATTAGCAAAAAAAAAAAAAAAAGAAAAACGCTGTAGCTGAGGACAGCACTTATCACATTCCGTCAATGGAGAGAAATCTCCTTGGAACTTTGGGGAACACGATATGGAAGAACAGTGCCTTGTTTGAGGTGGAAGGAAGAAAAAAGGCCTTGAGCAAGCCATTTCTTCCAACCATTTGGAGGAAAGAAAGTTGCTCAATTCCCCCATCAAACATAGACAGTGTTGGTGGGGGAATCCCTCCCGCAGAGCTATTGTGCTCTGCTGATGAGGAGCCTTCCCTGCTGGCACAACACAGTTATCAGTGCTAACGGCTGTAGCTGCTGGCAGTGATCACATGGAAAAAGTCTGTGTGAGTAAGATTTAAGCGGTCTTTGAAAAAGAGAAGGTTCACCAGCAAAAAGCTTTTTTCAGAAGGGGGGGGGGGGGCTGAAAGGGTGCTCTTTCCCCTGGTGATGTCCTTAATAAAGACTAATAAATAATAAAGTTTATAGACACATTTTCCATCAAAGGGCAGGCACAATTGTTGCTTTTTGCACTGCTGTTCCAGAGACTAGCATCTGAGCCAAAATGATCTTCTGCACATGTACCAAAAGGAGACTCATTCTTGGTATTATGCAAATACCATCCACCAATCCATCCATAGAATACAGCAGGGCAACAGGCGTGTGCTCCAGCTGTTTGGGGCAAAAGAATCCATTAGGATAGATCCATGATCCCAACAGATTGTACTGGACCAAACGTGTGACAGAAGGATTTTGTAGCAATAGCTGGTTGCAGGGAAGGACTTGAGAGAGAATAAAGTCTCTAAAAAGGTTTCTAGCCTTTTGGGCACTGGATCTCCAAGCGCTGGGATGTCTTCATGACGGACTGGATTTAGTAATACTGGTACAGCTATGCATAGAAGCCAATCAGCTTTCAGGTTTTTTTTTATCAAAGGTTAATGGAATAAACTGAAGTTGGGAGCTGATTGGTTATCATGCACAGCTGTACCAGATTCTGAGTGCTCCAGTTTTAGTAAATCTACCGGTCTGGATATTGTTAAAACAAGAAATGTCCAGATCCACTATTGGGGTGGCCTGCTTTTTAAGGAACCCCTCCTCAATAGGATATTGCTAAATAATAAGCTGGGAGAAGTACTTTCTCCAGAATAGGCCAATCACTAACACAGGTTGCAATAGTGAGTAAAAAGGAAAGAATTTAACAGGCTCATAATAGGACAGAGATTACCCGATTTGTGGCCAATCTCTTACTGAAAAAGATTGCTCTATAAAACAGTATTTTTTTTTTTTAACAGTACAAAAAATATGTACTTTAAAAAATACGTATATGTTTTATTATTGAAATTATGTGCTCTGGGTCAGTAAATGTTCTTGTGATTTGCTAATTTTTTTTTGTTATATTAAAACGAACATTCAAATGCAATTGCAATTTGTTAATCAGAATTTCTGGCCTTTATACCTGGAGAATTACAAATCCTATACACTAGTGGGATGATAAAACCATAATAAGGTGTCTTACATAGTCCATAACTTACTGGGATAAAATCAAAATATGAAGCCTTGCAAAACCCAAACAAGAATTGGATGATTAGGCAACAAAACGTATCTGTTGTCATCGATGAGTCTGTTTTCTGTCTTCTTTTGTTGAATTGTGATAGGTAATTGTTAACTCACAACTCTGTGCAACGTTTTGTCTGTTGTATGTCTTTCAAAAACTCAATAAAAACTAAATTATAAAAAAAAAAGTATCTGTTGTATATGTTTCTGGGTGCCAACGTGCTTTCAAGGGCTTTAGAAATCCACCTTGTTTAGATATGAATGGATCAAAGTTACACACCAAGTTTGTGGTTTAATTTAATCTAGGACAATAAGATCTTGTAATCTGTATCTATCCCTGTGAATGGCAAAACGAAGAGATGTAGTAAGGCAGGGGCCTCCAAAATTCTACATCCTGTCCCAGTTGGTAAAAGGGGATACAAAGTTTCAATATGAAACCATTGGGGTTGATTTATTAAAACTAGAGAGTGCAAAGTCTAGTACAGATCTGCATAGAAACCAATCAGATTCCAAACTGTTTTGTCAAAGCTTAATTTAACAAGCTGAAGATAGAAGCTGACTGGTTACCATGCACAGGTGTACCAGATTTGCATTCTCCAGTTTTTGCAAATCAACCCCATTGTGGAAGATGAAGACTCTTAAAAGTTGCATGACTTCAGTCTAACCAGTTATTTAACCATATTTATATTACCTCAGAACCCAAACGGCTGTCAGCTGACATTCGGCAAAAAGATAGTAGTGCTTGATGAAAAGCTGGGGACAGTTTTCTGTGAAAAAATAAAAAAAATAGATACATAAGATATTAAGTCAACATTTAATGTGTAAAAAAAAAATGGTGGGCTGCAATTTACTATTCATTTTGCATCAGTTTGAATAAATGGATAAACATAGGTCAGTTTGCGGGGAGCAATCAGTGAGAGCATATATTAGCAGAACTACAAACTTTACCACTTTATGTGCAAGGCTTATTTAAAAAAATGATTATCTTTGTACTACTTACCTGTTAGGTTGGTCAAACTGAATTCCATCTTTAAGGGGGTGGCGTAGTAAGAAGTGCCCTTTTGGTAATATTTGACAGGTCAGCAATGGGTGGAATATCCTCAGGTAGCTGGAAGTCTGTTTCTGATGGCTCCACCATTTGGTTTTCCTCAGTCCTGTCACATTTGCGGTCACTGTCTGACATTCTTATCTCCATGTAAGGATCACTTTCCACTGATATTTGACTCTGTAGCCTGTCAGACAGCCTTGGCTTTTCAGGACAAATGTCTGTCACAGGCTTCGCCTTTAGAACTTCAAGTTCCCTAAAAACAAAGCATGCTTATTTTGAAACACAGACTTCAAGTGTTAAGGTTAAAAGCTCTTCTTTTTCTCCAAAACTACTAACATTACAGATCATATCTTGCTTTTAGGAATACACTATATGACCAAACGGTGTGTGGACATCTGACCATCACACCTATCTATATGGCCAAATTAATGAGATGAGGTGTTTACAATGCATGGTCCTGTGAATGCTGCAGCATACAAAGACAAGTTAGACAACTGGGCACTGTCAACCTAGTGACAACAATTTTGAGTAGGACCTTTTACATTACAACTTGAATGTGCACAAATCCAGGTCCATAAGGACATGGTTTGGAGAGTTTGGGATGGGGGAACTTGAGTGGCCGTCACAAAGCTCTGAACACTTTTGAGATGAACTTGTATGATTGTGATCAGAGTCTTCTAGTCCAGAATCACCTAACCTCACAAATGATCTGGCTGATTAGGCACAAATTCTCAAATAAATACTCCAGAGATCATGTGGAAAGCCTTTTCATAAGGGTGGAGGCTGTTCTAGCCCTGAAGGAGGAGGGTAGTACTTTTAAGTTAAAGTGATTGCAAACCCATATAGCTTATGGTGCTGGAAACCTTCATTTTTTTTATCAGCTGTGGGATGAAGCTATACAGTGCTTGAAAAAGTATTTATACCCCTTGACATTTTCTACATTTTGTCATGTTACAACCAAAAATGTAAATGGATTATATTGGGATTTTATGTGATAGACCAACACAAAGTGGCACATAAAAGGAAAATGATAGATGGTTTGCAAAATTTTTTACACAAATATCTGAAAAGTGTGGTGTGCATTTGCATTGAGCCCCCCTGAGTCAATACTTTGCAGAAGCACCTTTTGCTACAATTCGTGTCTTTTTGGGGATGTCTCTACCAGCTTTGCACATCTAGAGAGTCACATTTCTGCTCATTCTTTGCAAAATAGCTCAAGCTTTGTCAGATTGAATGGACAGCATCTCTGAAAAGCAATTTTCAATTCTTGCCGCAGATTCTCAATTGGATTTAGGTCTGGACTTTGACTGGGCCATTCTAACACATGAATATCCTTTGACCTAAACCTTTCTATTTTAGCTCTGGCTGTATGTTTAGAGTCGTTGTCCTTTTGCAGACTAACAGGTTTTCTTCTAAGATTACATTGTATTTGGCTCCATCCATCTTCCCATCAACTCTGACCAGCTTCACTGTCCCTGCTGAAGAAAAGTATCCCCACAACATGATGTTGCCACCACGTTTCACGGTGGGGATGGTTTGTTCAGGGTGATGTGCAGTGTTAGTTTTCAGCCACATATAGTGTTTTGCTTTTAGGCCAAAAACATTCAATTTTGGTCTCATTTGACCAGAGCACCTTTTTCCACGTTTGCCGTGTCCCCCACATGGCTTCTCGAAAACTGAAAACAGGACTTCTTATGGCTTTCTTTCAAAAATGGCTTTCTTCTTGCCACTCTTCCATAAAGGCCAGATTTGTGGAGTGCATGACTAACAGTTGTCCTGTGGGACAGATTCTCCCACCTGAGCTGTGGATCTCTGCAGCTCCTATATAGAGTTATCATGGGCCTCTTGGCTGCTTTTCTGATTAATGCTTTCCTTCTTCAGCCTGTCAGTTTAGGTGGATGGCCATATCTTGGTAGGTTTGCAGTTGTGCCATAATCTTTCCATGTTTTGATGATGGATTGAACAGTGCTCCATGAAATGTTCAAAGCTTGTGATATTTTTTTTCTATAGCCTAATCATGCTTTAAACTTCTTTACAACTTTATCCCTGACCTGTCTGGTGTGTTATTTGGCCTTCATGATGCTGTTTGTTCACTAATGGTTCTCTTAACAAACCTCTGAGGGCTTCACAGAACAGCTGTATGTATACAGATATTAAAATAACACACAGGTGGACTATATTTACTAATTAGGTGACTTCTGAAGGCAATTGGTTCCAATAGATTTTAATTAGGGCTATCAGAGTAAAGGGAGCTGAATACAAATGCATGCCACACTTTTCAGATATTTCTGAAAAAATTTGGAAAACCATTTATCATTTACCTTCCACTTCACAATTATGTGCCACTTTGTGTTGGTCTATCACATAAAATCCCAATAAAATACATTTATGTTTTTGGCTGTAACATGACAAAATAAGAAAATTTCAAGGGGTATGAATACTTTTTCAAATGCCAGGACAACGGTGCACATATTGTAGAAAGCCATAAGATAAGTGAAAGTCCAGCAACAACACAGTATGAAATAAAATTGCAGTCCTTTATTATCTTCAAAACAAAAAAAAAAAATCCACCCAGTGTAAAGATTGGCGCATTTCATATTCACATACTTTGGGGCTTAGCCATAAGGCCCAAAGTTTGTGGGGCTGAAACATGGATTCCTTTTATATCTCAGTGGATAACTAATAAAGTACTGTAATTGTATTTCATACAGTGTCAGTGCTGGACTTTCACTTATCTTATACCCAGTAAATTGTCTGGCGTCAGATGACACACAGATTAAATAAGTCCTCCTACATAAGTTGTACCTGTTTATCTGCAGTCTTCTCTACATCCATACAAAGTGCTGAATTTATAAAGCTGGTCTGAGACATAAAAAAAAAAAAAAAAAAAAAAAAAAAAAGAAAAAAAAGGGGGTGGAGACCTGAAATTACACACTGCAGAGTTCAGAGAAGAGAGCTCAGAGCTAATTGGAGGAAAGAGATACACACCCTCCACACAGCTCACATGTACAGAGCTGAAGCAATCAATCTGCTGGAGGTCCCTCCCCTATCACAATTTATCACTTGGTGTCATAAAAACTTGTCTGAAGAGGTTTGTGCCAATTACAGAGGAATGAAGCAGACAGAAATGACACTTAGTGCTCTGGATTGAGACAAGTACACAGTATAGAGGGATATGCTTTGTTCATACTGTATGTCTGAGGTTTACAACCACTTCAACTTTCATGATTTTGGAATGGGAAGTCCAACAACCTTTGGCCATATTATATATATATATATAGTTTTGTCTCAAACTGAGAGCATAAAATATATGCCATTAGAATTTAAACAAGCCACTAAGCAGTACAAAGACAATATATTCTTGTAACCTGATATTCAAATTACAGTAGTTTTGTTTGTGAATTTACAGTAGTTATGTTTGTGAATGTATATTTGGCTGTAAGCGATCATCATGTAATACAGACCAGTGATTACTTAGTACAATGTCCTAATTTATTGATAAAGTGATCTCTAACATCCTCTGCCCTTCTTAAATTATTAGTTATATCAAGGTTTCTGTACTTCATTCTGGCATTAACATCCTGACCACAGCCTTCTTACGCAGTATGTAAAAAAAACAAAACCTCAGCGCTCAGGACTTCCTATTTACCATATATAAACCCCGTGAGATGCTGCTGTGCACAGGTACAAAAGACCAAAAACTTTTAACAATGAAAACCAGCGCAAACCCACATGATCAATTACATTACTCAGTGTAAAAAAAACATTAATGTGCTAATAAAATTATATATAATAAATTATATATAAATTATGTTGATACAAAAATATATCTATAAAATTATGAGTCCAGTGAAAAAACAAAATGACAAAAAATCAGAAAAATCCCAGAAAGTATATATATATAAATAATTAAAGTCCCGTGACAAAATTAATCAAATTAATTTATAATATATTTTCCATATGATTCTTCCGTGTTACGGATCCCTTCACCATCCACCAGTGCAGAAATCAACATTAACCGCACTCACCAGATAATGGTGAGTCACACGCCTTTCAGGATTGTTAAGGGCTCCTGGACCCCCTTTACTTTCTCTGAGACCTCCAAGTGCTGTTTCCTCTCATGTCTAGGTACCTCTTCTGCTTACTCCTCTCACCGAATCCCCCAAAGGAAAATCAGGAAGAAGAAAAGACCATAGCGTGATACCGCAGTAACTTCTCCTCAAATTAATCTCTCCAGACCACTCACATTCTTTTGCGGGATATAGCCCGCTTTTTATTCAAAACAACAGCGATTCTCTTCAAAATTGATCCACTTTTCATGTACACCGATTATATAAGGATTATATAAGGACCCCACAGTTTAGTGTGCAGCAGGATGGCAGACCTCAGCTACAGACTCTTCTCCTTAGACTAAGATGGCCCCTTGGAACGCACCGCTCGGCGTGCGCTCCACTCACCGGAAATGACGTCAGACGACGGACCAGGCAACCGGAAGTGCGTCAACGCGTTTCGCCCCACCCACAGGGCGTTATCTTGATAACGCCCTGTGGGTGGGGCGAAACGCGTTGACGCACTTCTGGTTGCCTGGTCCGTCGTCTGACGTCATTTCCGGTGAGTGGAGCGCACGCCGAGCGGTGCGTTCCAAGGGGCCATCTTAGTCTAAGGAGAAGAGTCTGTAGCTGAGGTCTGCCATCCTGCTGCACACTAAACTGTGGGGTCCTTATATAATCCTTATATAATCGGTTGTGTACATGAAAAGTGGATCAATTTTGAAGAGAATCGCTGTTGTTTTGAATAAAAAGCGGGCTATATCCCGCAAAAGAATGTGAGTGGTCTGGAGAGATTAATTTGAGGAGAAGTTACTGCGGTATCACGCTATGGTCTTTTCTTCTTCCTGATTTTCCTTTGGGGGATTCGGTGAGAGGAGTAAGCAGAAGAGGTACCTAGACATGAGAGGAAACAGCACTTGGAGGTCTCAGAGAAAGTAAAGGGGGTCCAGAAGCCCTTAACAATCCTGAAAGGCGTGTGTGACTCACCATTATCTGGTGAGTGCGGTTAATGTTGATTTCTGCACTGGTGGATGGTGAAGGGATCCGTAACACGGAAGAATCATATGGAAAATATATTATAAATTAATTTGATTAATTTTGTCACGGGACTTTAATTATTTATATATATATACTTTCTGGGATTTTTCTGATTTTTTGTCATTTTGTTTTTTCACTGGACTCATAATTTTATAGATATATTTTTGTATCAACATAATTTATATATAATTTATTATATATAAATTTTATTAGCACATTAATGTTTTTTTACACTGAGTAATGTAATTGATCATGTGGGTTTGCGCTGGTTTTCATTCTTACGCAGTATGTCAACTTTCCCCTATTCTGTCAAAGCCTTAAATACAATGAAGAGGATTCTCAACTCAGCATTTTAGTAAGCCCCTGTGCATTAATTCAGGAGCAAGGGGAAAGGAAACATAGTCCCACCATCCTTTGGCACATAAGAGGATACATACATGTATTAAGACTTAAAGAAGGAAAAAAAAAAAAAAAAGGAAAACCAAACTTCCATAAATGTAGAGTGTATTCGTTTCAAATGTATTTTATTTGTGATAGCCATACAGATATGCAAGTCCTACCTTTAACCATTTTAACGCTATGAAAATGGTTTCACTGAGGTAAACAGTAAAACTGTATTTTATAAAGAGTATTTTTTTGTTTAAAAGTATTTTTTAATAAGGAACCACACTTTTTTTTACCCTGTAATCAACTACAGTTTCTGCTCTAGGACTACATAGATATATATCCGAGCAGCAGTACTACATACCTCTGGAGAGTCGCAATTTGTTCCAGTAAAGCCACTTTTTCTTCATTGCACTGACTGATTTTATTCTCTAGTTCTTGAACTACTGCTGATGACTAAAAAGAAAATTGTGAAATGAATGTATTTGGCACTGAAGCAACATATACAGACATTCATTCCCTGTTAATCCCTGTGATTTGCAATTTAAGGCAAAGCTACGGCCATTCCATCAACAAGCAACCACTGCTAAGTCTGTGAAGATTCCATTTATCCATGGTATGGCTAGTGAGCGTCAAGTCACGTTCAACTGGATTTGTTCTACAAGGCTGAAGACATTTTGCTGCTTATCCTAACAGCTTCTTTAATGCTGAAAATGGAGCTGAGTACCTGGACTATGTAACTCCCATGAGGCAGTGGATGTCAGTGGCCATGGACAGAGTGACAAGGGGAAACACAAATGTTGTATACATAGCAAGAGTGTGGAAATTTTTTAAAAACTACTCGTCCAGGCATTAAAATCGGTGCCCCAATCTACTTGTCCCACATGACAATCTACTTGTCCGGATTAAAAAAAAAAAAAAAAAATTTTTTTTAACCAAAACCATATTTAAACCTAAGGTGCTTTTAGGACTGTCTGGGGCTTTTAAAAACAAAAGGGGCTTTACTTAAACATTTAATATTTTTAACATTGCCCTGTGCATCTCCTCCTCCCCTCCCTGCCTCACTCCAACATCGCACCTGGGTACTAGCAGGGAGGAGAGAGACCTTGTAGTGTAATGAGCACCAATAGGGTACTCCTCAGGAAAAGGGAGTGTCAGGCTTATCCTTTATCCCTTTCGCTGCCAGAGCCATTTTTGTGTTTTTTGCACATGTTTAAACAAATCATTTTAGGCCTGAAGATTACACAAAACCCAAAAACATGATATATTTTCTGGAAGCAGAAACCCAAAAGAAAAAAAATAGTGGTAGTTACAATTTTTATTTAACACGATATTACCACAAAGGTCTAGGAAATGCAAAATGTTTCTAAAAAATACACAATTAATTTTAGGGCAAAAAAAAAAAAAAGGCAATAAATTGCCCAATTTTTTCCCTTATGTGATGAATTTTTGGTGAAAGGTTATCTTTATTGAGACATCCAGGGTCAAAAGACCCTGGATGTCGCCCTTGTACTCCACTGGATGTAATGCATTGAACATCACACTGCATTACATTCTTTCCCAGCCTCGATAGCTAGGAAATCGGTGAACGGGGACCCAGAAGTGATGTCACATCACTTCTGGGTCAGGGCAAGACTAAATTGGTCCCGGGCCCACAGATAGGCAAGCAAAACCCGGGAGATATATAGCAGGTGGGGGGGGGGGGGGGGTTTGGAGGTTGGCACTGTAATGGGCTGTGTGGAAGCAACTGGGCAGCAGCAAAGTCACCCAAATGCTTCCACCTGACAGATGAGTCCTGCTGCTTGCCCGCAGCAGTGCTAATTGAACATCCCTGATGAAGTAGAGCGGACTAGAGCAAGTGTGCCATAATCCATAATATGGCAGGAGCCGACCCGCCCTGCAATTGCTAAATTTATACTTTATTAGTAGTGTAATTCATTCTTGAAAATTCCTTATTCTATATACTGTAGTAAAGGGTCGATGGTCTCTAAGACTACTCTCCATATACTCGATTTTTACTTGAATGGGATTATTGTAGGTTTCATAATACACAGTTTAAAAGTACTGGGCCACATTTCTGGTTAGAGACAACAGGCACATATAGGGACATGCATACGATCCCATAAGTGTAAATAATCTAGGAAAGTAAACTAATATTGCAGTTACACATTAATATTTATACAGCCTCAAATACAAAATTTTGGGATACATAATTTAAAGCGGATCTTCAGGCAACATAGATTTACAAAGTTCCCGGACCCATCCTCCTGTAATGTAAAATAAATCATTTTTATTTCTTACCCTGCTCCTTCTGGAGACATCTTGAAAACCCTAGGATATCAGCACATTGCATCCATTAAAGCAAATGCTCTCAGCAGCCAGTGGAAGGAGACCGCAAGAACAAAAACATGCAGGCCACTGCTGAGGGTGGCAAAAGTCCAGAGAACTTCCTTGTGATCACGATAAATTGTGCCAGCCTGTATCACAATATCAGTGTTGGAGCACTGCAGCACTAATTTGGGTGGAAGCATTGTGCTGGACAAATAAACTGTGCCTGCTTACAACAGTATCAGAACAGGCATAACTTTCATGAGCCAGACAATGCTGTAGCAACAGGAGAGTTCTCTGCTCTCTGGTCACTGATCATATGGTGGCCTGCATTTCCATCCATCTTAGCAAATTCAGTTACGGATATCTAACTGTAGGCATCCTTAGCCAAAGCAAAGTGGACTGAGGAAGCGGCTGAAGCTTTGATCAATGTACAGCAGGCAGCACTAGCATGCTGTTATCAGCAGTACCAGCTCTGAATTACAGAGGGGAGGTCGAGAACACCAGTCACCCAGCCTATAAGACCACAAGATAGATGTAGGCTGAGGTCAGGGCCATCTTTAATAGTGATTGGAACCTGGGAAAACATTTCCCCTACACCCCCCCCAATTGCAATTTCGCTCTCTACCTGCTCTGAGACAAAACAAATAGAAGCTAGACTCCAAATCCGTTTACTACAGCAGATCAGGCAGAGATTGTGACTGGTTGCTAGAGGTGGCAGCATATCATTACTGCTCACTGACTGGTTGCTAGAGGTTATAGCACACACCACGGCTCACTAATTGGTTGCTAGAGGTTACTGCACATCCTTACCACTAACTGATTGGTTGCTAGAGGTTACTGCACATCCTTACCACTCACCGAGTACTTGCTAGAGGTTACTGCACATCCTTACCACTCACTGACTGGTTGCTAGAGGTTACTGCATATCCTTACCACCACTGAGTACTTGCTAGAGGTTACTGCACATCCTTACCACTCACTGAGTATTGCTAGAGGTTACTGCACATCCTTACCACTCACAGATGATTGGTTGCTAGAGGTTACTGCACATCCTTACCACTCACTGATTGCTTACTAGAGGTTACTGCACATCATTACTGCTCTCTGTTTAGCAGCTGATGAGTAAGTGGTAATGGTGCACAGTAACCTATAGCTGCCAAAGGTTACAGTACACCATTTGCAGCTCACTGATTGATAACCTATGCACCCCAAACCTCCCCCAATCTCTCCGCTCCAACCCCCCCTACCCTAACTCTACATGCCTGTTCCGCTCATCCTTACACCCACCTTCCTTACCTCTGTCTGCTTCTGCACACCCCATCCCCACCACTTTGCTTACCTTTGCAGAATAGGCTGCTGGTAGGCTCAATGACCACAGTTGCAGGCAGGACTTCTAAGCATGTTTCTGTTTACCTCCCCAGTGGGCAACATTCAGCAGAGGTGATGGTGGATGGAACCTCAGGGGGGCATATTATACATATGAATGCTGCCTCTATTTACAAGGGAATGCCAGTTATTTACATGTGCATGCAGACATGATCTGGGTCATCTATACACTGCAATAGGGCAGAGCTGGGTAGTATAGTGACAACACTTCATATTGAGATATCAGGACACAGCGCAGGAGGAAGACTTCAAAGGGATAAGGGTATGTAAACAGGACCTTTTGCCCTGCCTTAAAGACAGCCCTGGCTGAGGTGAACAGTCCTCATGACAGGATTGAGGTAGGACAACCTATGAAGAAACTTTAATGGAGTCTGGGACAAGTTATTGAAAAACTGAAGGGCAAAACCATAAAAAAAACAAAAAAACACAAATGTACAAATATTTGCGTGCCTACAGTTCAGCTTTAATGAATAATAAAACTAATCTCACCTGGAGAGGCTGGGGTTCCATTATTGATATCTGAGCACTAGGTAGCGGCTCAAGTTCATCTTCTTTTACAACAACTGCAACATCTGCAGTGTCTTTTACTACAGCCTGGTGGCTTCCAAAGTTACGATAAAGTTGCAAAAGGTCTGGAGGTTTTGGAATATTTAATCCTACATCATCCCACAATTCAAAGTCCTAAAGAGAAAATATAGAGGGTCAGGGTTCCAACTGCCTGGCTTAAATCTGATTAGCAGGTATAGAGACAACAGCAACTTTTTGGTTTTCATTCCAATAATTTTTATTGTTTGGAATATAGCAGTCTACAACATATATACTTGCACATGTTACATTTTGCAAACAGGTATGTCACCAGGTTTTCTAAGTGAAAACGTACACCCTGTCCCAAGGTCAAAGCAATTATTAAAAACCGTTCCTGATATAAATAGAAAAAAGGAATTAATATATGAAAATGATTTCTATACAATGGTAACAGAACTGGAATAAATTATATACCAGCCTCTCTCAACCTTTTCAACAGAGAGGAACCACTGAAATAACTTTCTTGTCTCAGGGAACCCTTTGCTAAAATTTTTAATATCTACAACTCATGATATATTAGTATGATGGTCATTGGGAAGAGTTGCCCTCATACAGATCGCTAAAAAGATCAGTGGTGTCGATGGAAACTTATCTGAGAGGCAGAAATTACTAAATGTTTAAGGAACCCCTAGCAACCTTTGGAGGAACCCTAGTATATACTGTACCCTTAGATTTAGCGAACATAAGAAGAAGAATAGAAAAAAACAAAAAACAAAGATGAAATAAAAGAGGAGAAGAAAAAGTGTGAACAGATGTGTCTCGTCTCTTCATCACTCTCACGAGTCCAGCTTACCACGCTACTCATTATTATACTGAAATGTATTGTATCCATGGGTCCCATATTTTTTTCAAATAAAGGCAATTTGTCAAAATCAACAACCTTTTTATTTTAACAAAAAAACTAATCAAATTCACAACACTATAAAAAGGATACATTTGGTAATTGTTAAATCCACTGCATATCACTTGAAACCCCCTGGATCAAGAGCATACAGAGGACCTTAACTTCAGCTACACTCTTTGAATTCACTGCCTTAACCATTCAATAGTCAATTGTGGGAACCTCAAATCACCAATACTACTCACAACAGACTAAATGGCCATTATGGGGCTTACCTACGAGAATGTACGAATTCCCCCTGTATGTGCTCTGAACACGGTTTACCAGTGACAAAGTAAAAACACAGGTGCTGCTCTCAAAAAAAAGAATGATATTTTATTTTACTTTAAAAGAATCAACACTTACCATCAGAGCTAGAAAAAAAAGTGACAAAGTGGTAGTATTGCCTGTATTTGAAACCTATAAACCTACACAGAAAGTTAATTATCAGTCATTTAATGGTGGTTGCTGCTTTTTGCTACCAAAATGGCTAGGCAAAGGACTACAAAAACAAGTTGGTTATTTTCTTCTAAGGGTTTATTGGATGTTCACTGCATCCTTTTAAAAAAAATCTGTTGTGGACATCTGAAAGCATGACATACAGTATTCACCCATGAACAGGATTACAATCAATTTTACACAAACCACCTTGCACAGTATAGTTGCTGTTTAAAGCTGGTAGATTGTGGACTATTATGGATAAAAAAAAAAAAAAAAAAAAAAGAACGCCATGTTAAAAGGATAAGTTCACCTTCTGGGAACATGTAACATGTTCCCACCACTGCAGCTAATGCCGGTCTCTCCCCTCCCAGTGACAGCAGTATGGGGAGAAGTTCGCCGTACTAGCTGTCACTTTTTAAAAACAGCCTGACCATGCAGGGCTCTGCTCACACAGCCACATCATTCATTCACAGAGTTCTGTGAATGAATGAACTAAAAGTCCTGAAATCCTTTGCAGCTGTCGGCTTGTAGTTCTCAATGAACTACCAGAGTGCTTTTGAGAGCCGTGGTAGTTCATGGAGTATTCTTGTCACACCGTATCTACTTGCCCGTACCCATGGATGTACGAGCACACAGAAACACTGACAATTTGCACAAATCCTGCATGGTGCAATGCTTTCCAGGCAAAAAAAAAAAAATAATAGTAAATGCACATTTTTTTTACCTGCAAAAAAAAAAATAAAAATTTAAAAAATGTGAATTTTTTTTTTTATAAAAATAATTCCAAATACTAAACAAGTGCTTTGGAAATCAGCAGGACAAAAGTCTTATATTAATTCATGGTAGGTCATGGCAGCTGGCGTTAGATCACATTTGGCATCTAATAGTAAACTATGGAAGGAAATTCCAAGAACAATATAAGCCACTAGAAGGATATCCTCTTGCCTTGCTAGGATATTCCTCCATATTGCATTGTTCTAAAATTGCCCTTTCCTGAGAAAATGTCCCAGGACATTACGGTTTTTATACTCAGCCTTGCTACTTACGAATGTTTCTATACACTCGAGAATAAATATATTATACTTTAATATAAGAAGCACATTACCTGGTCATCATTTTCATCAGAAAAGGTTATAGAAGTAAGCTTGTTGTTATTTTTCAATAAATACTCATTCACAAGGAAATTTAGTGCTCTTTTTTCAAGAGGTTTAATAGGTTCCTAGAATAAAAACAGCAAAAGAAAGCAGTTATAACTATACATATATATGCGTTATTACTGAGAGGTGATGTCTATAGAAAAGCTCTTCCAATCAGGTAAGGAAAATGCTGCCAATACTCACTTGAATAACCGATACAATTTGCCTATATAAGCAAACCACCCATACCAGTATATGGCACCTCTAGAGCTGCCCTTGAGAATAAAAATGGAATGTATCGGGATGACAAATGTCTATGAGGGATTCATAGTTAAGAAATCCAGGACAGTTTGTTCATTTCATAACATTTCCATCAAACCACTACCATAGTTAAATATGACTGTTCTGTATATCAAGCAAGGCTCTACTTCTTAAAATATGGTCCTTGACAGGACAAAGAATATTGACCTCAGGGATAAAAGAGAATCCCAAGCTGCTAGAAGAAGGGAGGACTTTATACTGCAAACAGGCAAAAGTGTACACAATGGTTCAGTTCACCATCACTCCTAAAGGGGCAATGACTTTTATAACAGGTTAAAAAAAAAATAATAGCCTATAAGGTATTGTTTTGGTGGTATTGGGTTCTGGCTCGGTTGGTCCGGGCTAACCCTGCCTGTAGTGATCAATGTTTTCGGGGTTGTGGCCATCGTGGAGATGTCTTGCACATCTGGTGGTCATGCCCGAGACTGTTTCGTTTTTGGTCTCGTGTGTTTGGCCTCCTTTTCACCTTGTTCCATCTCTCCATACGCCGGGATGCCCGGTATGTCTTGCTTCATTGCCCCATACCGGGCCTCTTGGCTCACCAGCAGAAGTTGGCTTCTTATTTGTTTTTATCGGCCACTAGAACAATTGCCCAGGCCTGGAAGAGTCCGTTTGTCCCTCTTCAGGGGGTGTGGGGTCGTATGACTACTATGATGCTCAACGAGCAGATGTCGAGTATCCACAACGACTCCCAACGTAAATTTTTTGAAAATATGGGAGCCGTGGTTGCAATATGCCTTTCCCACACTCCCCCCGGATAGCCTGGGGATGTAATGGCGTTCAATACTGGTGCTCTTGGACCCCTGCTTTTTGCCCCCCCCCTTTTCCCCCCCCCCCCCCCCCCCCCTTTCTCTCTCTCTGTTTTTGGTGTGACTGGACAGCTGCCTTTAGTTGTTAGAGTCAGTTGCATTAATGTTTTGTACCTTATGTGCCATTGATAGCCCCTGCGTGGGCATACCTTTTGCCCTGTTGGCGTTAGAGCACGGTTTTCCTTTTATTTTGCTTTTTTTTTTTTTTTTTTTCTGTGCAATTGATAGCCCCTGTGTGGGCGAGTTTTATTGCCTCTGTTTTATAATGGCAGAGTGTTAAATGAATGGTTTATAATGGTGGTTTAGGATTACAGTGGTGACTACATGCTTAACGTTTTATAACTCATACATTTTGAATTTGGGCACAGAAAGGCAACAGGCATTTTCTGAAGGGGTCAGTAATGGCAATCCATATATTTCTCTCCTGACAGGTGTACTAAAAGATGTTGATAGTCAACAATCAGTACAGATATCTAAATTAAGACAAGGAAACTGGCTACTAAATAAACAACTTCAACGTTGCCATGCTCCGATTCCAATGCATCAGCTCCAGTCTGCTTTTGGTACTGTAGTTGTGGTGGTAGGAAAGGGGGAAATCAGTGGTGAGGAGAAGCAACAGGTTTTATTTAGTGGCTTCCCATTGGACTCCAAAGTAACTCACAGGAATTCTTATCATGCTTAAAAATGATGTTTGAATGTGTATTTATTAGAATCCAAGTAAGAACATGTCACATCAAAAGTCAAATAAAGAGTATGTAAGCATAAACTGATGTTCAAAAGAAGTCCAATAAAAAGGTCTCTACAAAAACAACATTGCTTATACTATTCAGCTTAAAAAATGTTACATTCAATGGTCAAGTATAAAAATCCTGACCAAAAACAATAGCAGCTATACCTACCAGCATAACCTATGCAAGGTAGGAAGGTATGCAGTAAAAGTAAAAGCCATTGGTAAGATGGTTACAGAGAGAGCTGCAGGGTTCGGTCCCATAATGTGACAATATTGAATTTCAATTACATTTCCCCTACTCTCCTCCCCTGTAGACTTGTTTACCTTAAGTGGAAATCTAATTTACTAATGGAAGATAATTATTATGAGATTATGCATTCTTAATTACTAGCAAGTGTTTACTATCAATTTACCTAGGGACCAATTAATACAAATACATGAGAATGAAAGAATGAATATACAGTAAGCATATACATACTCAAAAAAAAAAAAAGCATTTTCTCTCTACTATATTGCCCAAGTATTGGGCCAGCCCTCCAAATCATTTGATTCAGGTGTTCCAATCACCTCCATGGCTAAAGTTGATGAAATCAAGCACCTAGGCATGCAGACTGCTTCTACAAACATTTGTGAAAGAATGGGTCGCTCTCAGGAGCTCAGTGAATTCAAGTGTGGTACTGTGATAGGTTGCCACCTGTGCAATAAGTCCATCTGTAAAAGTTCCTTGCTACTAAATATTCCACGGTCAAGTGTTAGTGGTATTATAACAAAGTGGAAGCAACTGGGAACAACAGCAACTCAGCCACGAAGGGGTAGGCCATGTAAAATGACAGAGCGGAGTCAGCGCATGCTGAAGCCCACAGTGCGCAGAAGTCGCCAACTGTCAGTCAATAGCTAAAGACCTCCAAACTTCATGTGGCTTTCAGATTACTGTGAAAGGTTGCCTGTTCAATAAGTCCATTTGTGAAATTTCCTTGCTACTAAATATTACCCGGTCACCTGTTAGTGATAATATAACAAAGTGGAAGCAACTGGGAATAACAGAAACTCAGCCACAAAGTGGTAGGCTATGTAAAATGACAGAGCGGGGTCCGCACCTGTTGAAGCACAGTGCTCAGAAGTCGCCAAATGTCTGCAGAGTCAATAGCTAAAGACCTCCAAACTTCATGTGGCCTTAAGATAAGCACAACAACAGTGTGTAGAGAGCTTCATGGAATGGGTTTCCATGGCCGAGCAGCTGCATCCAAGCCTTACATCACCACGTGCAATGCAAAGCGTCGGATGCAGTGGTGTAAAGCATGCTGCCACTGGACTCTAGAGTAGTGGAGATGTGTTCTCTGGAATGATGAATTACGCTTCTCTGTCTAGTAATTCGATGGTCAGGTTTCGGTTTGACGGTTGGCAGGAGAAGGGTACTTGCCTGACTGCATTGTGCAAAGTGTAAAATTGGTGGAGGAGGGATTATAATGTGGGGTTGTTTTTCAGGGGTTGGGCTTGGCCCCTTAGTTCACGTGAAGGGAACTCTTAAAGTGTCAGCATACCAAGACATTTTGGACAATTTCTTGCTCCCAATTTTGTGGGAACAGTTTGGGGATGACCCCTTCCTGTTTCAACATGACTGCACACCAGTGCACAAAGCAAGGTCCATAAAGACATGGATGAGTGAGTTTGAGGTGGAGGAACTTTACTGGCCTGACCTCAACCTGACGGAACATCTTCAGGATGAATTAGAGCGGAAACTGTGAGCCAGGCCTTCTCGTCCAACATCAGTGCCTGACCTCACAAATGCACTTCTGGAAGAATGGTCAAACATTTCCATAGACACACTCCTAAACCTTGTGGACAGTCTTCTCAGAAGAGTTGAAGCTGTTATAGCTGTAACGGGTGGGCCAACTCAATACTGAACCCTATGGACTAAAGACACCATTAAAGTTCATGTGTGTATAAAGGCAGGCATTCCAATACTTCTGGCAATATAGTGTGTGTGTATATTTTACACACACACACACACACACACACACACAGTGTTCCGTTGATCTATGCACACTTTATTATTAACATATTGATTTTGTTTCTGATATGTATTCATTGACAATTTACTAAGGGCTGCCCACACTTTCATTATATTAAAAAGGTATACAGATGGTCCTTGCAATCCATTGTTTAGTATTCTACCAAATTCCACTCTAGAACACAATTTCTGGGTAATGTAAATGTGAAAAATACTGTGGATACAGATAAGCCCATAGTAAAGCTTACCTGTAGGTACAGTGACTATCTTCTAAACTTGTGGTGTTTAGGAAATATTCACACAGAAAACAGCAGAAGACATCACCGGCGCATATGCATTGCTCTCTGAAGGGATGTCATACAGTCAAAGAATTTACTTTTTCTTTATGTGTAAGTACAATATATTTTTTTTTTTTCACAAATATTGGGATAGTTTCTGGACCTTCTGCTCAGTGGGGTTAAATCACTAAAGGCGTAGAGACTATTTACTTCGTGAACAAGGCAAAGCAGTGTTCACCTTGCATACCCAATAATGTACAAGGTAAATTAAAAACCAATAGTAAACCAGCCCCAGTGAGTTGGGTTCTTTTATAAATTGTGTTATCATCCTAACTATTGTAGCGCAAAGTGGGAGAAAGGATAAAATAACAGCATTATAGATTGCAGGTCTGCAGTTACAAACTATATGATAAATCGCTGCATTAAAAATTCCTAGTTTGTTTTTTAAACAACTGAAATCTGAAAAACTTCCACTAGGTGGCATAGAAAAGATGTAAAAGTGTAACTCTAGGAGAAATGTGACAACCTACAGCTTACATATTATAAATCACAAACACAACAAAGCTGGAATATGTTCAAATTCTGATCACTAATAAACCAATCATGTCTATTCTAAATCCATAAAGCAACATCCCTGAATGACTGATTCACTTCAAGATTAAAGAAAAATGAAAATCACTTCAGCGATCTATCAGTAACTAGAGGTGGGGTCCTCATGACTAGTGATGAGCTTGAGCACATTCACAGTAAAATCTGAACGTACGTGTGAGACCACCAGGAATGGATGGGCTATTGTACAGACCAATAATCTGCCACTAGGGCATTCCCTGCCCAGCAGATCATGTCCCTGGCCACAGATGCCGAAAAATTACACATCTGTCAGTTTTCTTTGTTTCTGGAAAATCACAAAAATTACATTTGTGCTCATTTACCC